TGTTAATTTTGAGAGGGTTAACATATTTTTAAACACACAAATGTACAATAAGGACCTTTAATGATGAATTTTTAAATGGGTACCTCATCAAAAGTGACCCAAACCAAAGAGTAATGAGCTTAATGATCCTGAAATCCTCTGAATAAGTAAAAATTTGGCAGATAATCACCTTGAGATTCACAGTGTTGTCTCCAGTGTTACCATGAAAATATCAGTGAATGCATTTTAAAACACATAATGTTAAGCAGAGCTGAACATCACAACAGCTACAAGCACCAAAGAGTTTCATTACCTTCACAGACCATGTTAGGTTTGCTCCACAGCCCCTCAGCACCACACACAGAGCTGTTGTCTCCCCTCCTCCACACAAAGCCTTCATCGCAGATGAATGTGGCCACGCTGCTGTACGTAGTTCCTGTGACTGACACTAGCACTGTGTCCTCCAGTAGTGCAGGTGGGCCACAGTTAACAACTGAGCAGAACAGGATTATACACAACTTAGGTTTACATCCAGCTTTTCTTTACAGCAACTGGTTGCATGGATTTAATTCAAGATTGACTGTCATTGTCTAAGGAGCTTGGTAAGAAAAGCGTCTGGACTTCTTTAAGTGTCCTGAAGATGTTTCATCTCTTATCTGAGAGGCTTCTTCAGTTCTAAGAGCAATTGTTCTCCATCTTACCTCACAACACCTATAACACTTCCAAACACCTTGGGCCAGCAACTTCATAAACACATGGCACAACATAGAGCAACCTCGACAGGTCAAGACTCAGCTGTACTTTTGCATCTAAAGGTCAAAGGTCACTCTTTTGAGGATGTCAGTGTTCACATTTTGGACAGAGAAGACAGATGAAGGAGGAGTGAAAGAAGCCATCTATGTCCACTGTGAACAACCATCTTTGAACAGAGGGCGGGGCTTACAACACCAACTGTCTGCCATCTATAATCCAGTTTTGAGATCCCTTCTCAGACGCCTTAATGCCCACTCACATCCTGGGTCATTTGTTCTCAATAAATCACATGACAGGGTGGGGTTAGGTTTCACAATGGGTTCACCGGAAACCTTGTGTGATTGTGACCCACACCCATTTTCACACCTTGGCTTGTGTGATTAGGGGTCCTGGGCCCTCTTTGGGACACTCCCAAAAGGGTGTAAAAATCTGGGAGTCTCCACCAATTGCTCTTAGAACTGAAGAAGCTTCTTGGATGAGATGTGAAATGTCTTCAAGAAAATTAAAGAAGTCCAGACACTTTTCTGTCCAAGCACCTTAGACTACCATGACCTGGATGACTGAGAACCTTCACATTGCCTTCATTATAATATTAACCAGATAGTAGTGTGGCAGAGCCAAACCGAGAGCCATATATTTTTGACATTACACCAGAACTCTAGATAAGTGACAAAATGTCATATAAATAAATATGAGCGCACCTTTGCAGGAAGCTTTGTCTCTCAGTGGGTTAAAGGGTTCTACTCCATTGTGGATTTTGTATCCAACCTGGCAGCTGCAGTCAAAGCTGCCCTCAAGATTCCTGCATTGAGCCCCCTCTCCACACTGCCCTGTGATCCCGCACTCATCAATGTCTGCACAGCCAAAGACAGATGATGAACACGTGGCTTAAAATTTGCTCATTTAATAATGTATTTCTAATATCATAGGTGTTGCTTAAAAAAC